CTATCAACATATCTCTCTTTATATTTGATAAGCTGCCTATCTATCTTTATAGCCGGATAATCTATCTCTCTGCTTTATCGTCGGACTATCTACTTATTTTCTTTTTTTATTTAATAATCTACATATCTGTATTTTAGTTGGATAATCTATCTATATACACATCTTTCATTTTACTTGATAAGCTACTTATCTATCTTTATACTTGATAAGTTACGTATCTATCTTTGTACTTGATAGACTATCTACCTGCTATATGGTCTGATTATCCACTTGATAATCCACATATCCATTTTTTGTTTGCTTAATAACCTACTAATTTGTCGTTTTACTTGTTAATCTAAGTATCTACCTTTTTATTTGATAAACTTCTTATCTGTATTTTTAATTGATAAACTAAGTATCAGTTTTTCGAGCTGATAATTTACCTATTTTGTATTTCATAGTCTACGTATCTGTTGTTTTGCTTGGACATATTTGTGGTTTTTATGTAGAATAAGGTCGATATAGTGTTGAATGTTTATGACAGGGTCTTGATTAAGCACAACAATGTCCTCGACAGGTGTGACTAGGGTTCCAATAGGTTTATGATAAGGTCCTGATTATGCACGACAATGTCTTCGACAGGTGTGACTAGGGTTCCAATAGGTTTATGATAAGGTCCTGATTAGGCACGACAATGTCCTCGACAGGTATGACTAGGGTGCCAATAGGTTTATGATAAGTTCATGATTAGGCACACCAATGTCCTCGCCAGGTGTGACTAGGGTGCCAATAGGTTTATGATAAGGTCATGATTAGGCACACCAATGTCCTCGACAGGTGTGACTAGGGTGTCAATAGGTTTATGATAAGGTCCTGATTAGGCACGATAATGTCCTCGCCAGGTGTGACTAGGGTGTCAATAGGTTTATGATAAGTTCATGATTAGGCACACCAATGTCCTCGCCAGGTGTGACTAGGGTGTCAATAGGTTTATGATAAGGTCATGATTAGGCACACCGATGTCCTCGCCACGTGTGACTAGGGTGTCAATAGGTTTATGATAAGGTCATGATTAGGCACACCGATGTCCTCGCCACGTGTGACTAGGGTGCCAATATGTTACATTCCTCTGATCAAGTCTGACATTTTTCTCTCAATGAGCAGTATTTATTATCAATCTAATGAATATGTTTTAACCATCAGAGGCCGAGAACCCTGTATTGGTGGAATGAAATTATCAACTTAGGTGTGGATCAGATGTAGTAGTGTTCTAACGTTTTCTCAAATAGAACGCAGCCAACACGATGGGGCAAAACGGACAAGAACAACGACAACAAAAAACATTGCTTACTTTTATAAATAACCCCAAAACAATCGCAATAAACTTTAACTTTACCATCTTTCGTTTCTTACACAATAAGGATTGATTTCAACCACTTAGGTATTCCAACAAATAACAGGTAATTTGTAACAGACTTTATAAATTGCTAAAACAGTGTTTAATGACCTTAATAGCTGATAACACTGGCATTTTAGATCGAAGGCAAACTGTTGAATTATAGATATAATGTGATATTTATATATTCATGAAACTAAATGACATCAAATCTACATCTAATTATTTTTAGGCTGAGTCACAACCGAAACAGTCCCTTTGGAAACGGCAGTGCTTCATTGGTGTTGAAAAATTTAGACGTAAATAATAAGTATGATTTATTATTCATCAGTATAACTTTTCATAATCTTACCTTTCAATGAAACAACTTAATATGACTAGGAGTATTAACATTTTCTCTCTATAGTTAACTGTGCCGAAACAGAGAGTTCAGTCCCTTCAGTATGTATATATTGAAAGTTTTGATAGAAACGTATGGAGTTTCTCAATAGCTACAAATTAGCCATCGCAAAGAAAAATGTTGTTATGACGATATATATATATATATGTATGTAAATATTTTTCATTACGACCTTAATACCATCTAGTTTGGGGTCGGCCGGTATTTTGTAAGCCAAGACAGTTTACATCCGGGTGGCTGGCACAGCCGGCAACCATAGAGGACAAGCCTATTCGGTGACGGTGATTCGAGCTCGCAATCCTCGAACGTTAACCACCAGGCCGTGTTGTATTGTATTTTTGATGTCGCCGAGGGTTATTTGAACGTTTGTAGTCATTACTTGATAAAATATTTTGATTTCCTGCTTTTTTTTTTTCTCGCATTTATTGCGACAGTTTGTTGAATATTTTTAACGTATTAGTTTGAATTTAGTTCAGAAGCACCATCCGACATATAGGGATTTGGAACAGCGCGTCAGAATGTCCGAGCAACACGTCCCATGTTTACTGTCACGTGCATGGAGAATGTGGTTAGCCTATGCGAATGTCAAATTTATATATGTAGTCAACAGAGCTTTCGGGTGAAAAAGAACTAAGCATAAAAGGAACTCTCAAAATCATTGAACTTAAGTCTGACATTCACACCGAATTACATAATATTCTCCTCGGTTGGCTATCGCTCGATCTTTTCCAGCGTTATCACCCCGATCTTCTTCAGGACTATTCGGTGCTTCATTATTTTCATCAACACTATTGATCAGGTTCTACTTAGGATGTTTAGAGATTTACAATTATTTGCAGTGTACAATAATACTACAATCGTCTATACCGAACAATACTAATAATTATACCGAACAATACTAATACTTATACCGAACAATACTAATTCTTATACCGAACAATACTAATACTTATACCGAACAATACTAATACTTATACCGAACAATACTAATAATTATACAACATCAGGGTATCGTTTAAATAGTATTATCCATTATATTCTTACAGGAAACGTGAAATTAGTTAATAAAGAATAACATAATTGAAATCCTTACCATATTTCACATACATTTTTACTAAGGCACTTACACTCCAAGTTTACTTATCTTACGCTATTAAATGCCAAAAGATAGCGAAGCAATAGAAATCAAATGGCCTAATGTTCGTCATAAAAATCACGTTTCAAAGCAGACCATTGTCCATTTTCTTCTTAATAACTCAACATTAAACAAATGGTGTTTCTTGCAATACCAGAACACGCCAGCTGATCTGGGTCATAGCAGTCAGAATCCAATTGATTAATGAAGAGAAATTTGCAAGCACTGATTTTTGTTTTCAGGAACTTGCCATTTCATCGAAAACGTACCTATTACGTCGGAAAAACGGCAACAAACATCATTAGATAAATGGCGTTTTTAGACATGTTATGTGATATTTACTATTTAATAATAGAATGCTTTGTTTGTTTGTTTTCGAGCAATGCCACATTGGACTATCTGTTGTGTCCACCGCGAAGAATCAGTTTCCGGATTTTAGCTTTGTAAACTTACCTCTGTCCCACCGGAGGACAACTAGAATGCCGTCACCCTTACATACAGAGTGCAATGCCCATCACTCTTACTTAGACAGAGTATTATAAATGGTACTGCAGCTACAAATGTTCGACTTTTTATAAGACAAAAACTACAATAGATTAGACAATAACGCAGTATAATGTAAAGGCAGTGTGCATATACTTGTAGTAATGTGAGCGTCTGCTTGAGTGTTTATGTGACATTAACGTTTACTGGGTAATCTTACGCTGTGCTTGTTAAAATATGAAGGACTTTGTATGGACAGGGGTTCAGATGAGGTTAATGTTTTCTTCCAAGATTATTCTCGTGGATCAGTGCAGGTTAGTGTTATCTTCAAAGCTTTTTCAAGAGGTTTAGTTGAGGTTAATGTTTTCTTCCAGGATTCTTTATGTGCATCAGGTGAGGTTGATGTTATATTTCGTGCTTGTCTTGTTATTATTGTCTTTTCATATAATAATCTTTTTCCACATCGAAACTCTAATTTAGGGCACTTCTAGACACAAAACTGTTAAACTTTATCCGGCTTCGGGGGCGTTGTATCCCCGCAGCTTGATGTAAAAATTCACTTTGCTTGTGTTAATTTCACGAACAAGTTAGCCGAAAGAAACATTTGATATTGTATTTTGTTATTACGATTTCTGTAGGTTTTCGTAGCGAATGAAATGCTATTTTCTGCAAACATAAAATATAATGCCATTTTAGAGAGATTTAAACCCTGATCTTACTTATTTTTCACCCAAGTTTTTGGAAATATTGCAAACAAAGAATGAGGAAGTATTGGTCATGTTTTACAAGGATCTACCAAAAGTTCACTTGAAGTTTATGCGTAGTGTATTTCTAACTATAGATAGTGCCTGCATATTGTCCCATGTTTATAGTTATAATAAGGTATTCAGGGTGTTGATATATCTTATACGAATCATTACTCTCGGTGAATTTTGGCAATAAGAAAATTCACTCGACACTTTAGTATAGATAGCTCAGCAATTCCTAGAATTCAACTTCACCTCTTTCAGAAATAAACGTTATTTTCAAAGCTAGTTGTTAAAAACTGATTTTTTGAATTACATTTTATTTTTCAACATGATCTCTTAGAAAAATTAATTTTATTTTCAACCCTAGTTCTTAGGGAAATGAGTTATATTGTCAACAGCAGCTCTTGGGAAAAGTGTGCTATATTTTTAACACTATCTCTTGGGAAAATAAACTTTATTTTCAAAATTACCTTATGGGTAAATGAGCTATATTTTCAACACTATTGGGCCACATTAGGTTATATGCTGTGTTCATCGCATGGAATCGAACCCGGATCCTAGTGGTGTAAGTTCATAGACTTGCCGCTGTGAAAGGGCTATTTGGGGAACCCTTTCAAGCTTGAGTGAGCGGTAACCCCTCCCCTAAATTACGCCTCTGCTTTGTCCCAAGAAAAACAGTGCAAATTTAGTTACATTTAATACAACCTATGGATATATTAATTTGAATAAGGGATCATTGATTATTCTAAAGTCTGGAGATAATTCTTGATAGCTCCTAAATTTCTTTTGGCCCTGTCTGTACTATAAATGTTCATTAAAAATACATTAAAACTTTATGACGGGAAAAATAATTACCTGAACACGCGCTTCACTTAGATTCAATCGCGTGGCGAGCTCTTCTCGAATAAAAACATCGGGATACTGAGACTTCTCGAACGCCCGCTCCAATTGGTGCAACTGAAACGTCGTGAACGTTGTTCGAATCCTTCTGATCTTCCTTGGCTTGTTGGTGTAAAGATCCCCATCTATGAATCCTCTCACAGATTCTGGAGGACAGGTAGAGCCGTTCATGTCTGAAGTCCGAGAGCTAATTGCATTCGATTGACCAGAAAAATTAGGATTGGCGTAACATTCCTTTTTCTTGTCATCTTGGTGATGAGATTCTGAACTGTGTGTTTTTGAGTTTGTTGTCTTCTTCCGTAACGCCTCTCTGATATATGAAGATTGAGAAATATGTGAAGTTTTCTTTGATGGTTCTAAACGGCAGAAGAAATAAACAGAGTTAAGCAAAATTTGAAATTCAGTCGCTGAGTAAATAGACAAAATGTTTGGAGTAAAACGTACTAAAACGTTTGATTAATTCTTATATCGAGCTTATTGTCTTAACGTATTTAAGTGGAATAAAACGTACACTCTAAGTTAACCACTGTAAGAAACAAGTCTAGCCTTATTTTTTTCTATTTACTCTTGTCAAAGGTTACTGATGAAGAATGAAATTCCCCGAAACCAGCATAACTCAGTAACGAGTGATGAATCGAATGATAGATTCTGCTTCACACTATCTACACTGTTTGATGAGTGATGAGTTCTTCAATTTGAAACAAGCTGCTCGTTAGCTTCTTGGTTAAATCTTATGTTCGAAATCCAGCAAGAGCTATATAGATTTACAAAAAGCCACATCCTCCTAACTTTCTTTACTATTAAAACGTGTCATAATTTGCACTCTACGAACACTATAGAGAGCAAAGAGTAAATGTATGTCGCAAGTTATGTTTTTACAATGTGAGTTGTTGGGGAACTATTTTCTTCTAATTTTATTTTGTGTCGTTTCAACATTCAATATTCGTGAGAATATCTTTGTTTGTTAAGTGAAGAAGCAAAAAAAAAGCCTATGAAAAATAAAATGAAAATAAAGGGGAGAAATTAATGTCCTTCTAAACAATGGAGACAGTTAAAAAACTGTGTTACTGTTTGTTTTTTATAAACCAGAAAAGTTAATAAATAACTTTGTTTGACAACCTAGGTTGTCATGGCAAATGCTGTCGTATTAAAAAGACTTTCCTGAATTTTTTATTATGTAGAGAACAAGTATAAATTATGCTGTAAACACACAAATAGAGAAAGCCACACTGGTCTATTTTATTTTTACCTATAGCTTACTTTCAAATAAACAATTAGAAATATGTAGAAACAAATAATTAACGATGCCATTCGTTTTCAACACGGCTTTACTGGGATAATTTTTTTTCATGATTTTTCCGAACTTTGGCTTAAAAATAAAATCTTACAGAAAGGCCTAATACTATGTATCGATAAAATTACCCGATAATGGAGATTTCATATAAATATGTATATTATATTGAAGTAAAATATTAAAACCAATGAAAGTATACAACCAGCTAGGAATACCCTTATTTTTGACACACAATAATGAAATCGACTTCATTTTGGGAGTTAACTAAAGTAGTAACAGTTGAGAAGACAATCTGAGTTCAACTTTGAAATATCAAACGAATTGATATAACGTTTTTGACTAAATTACAAAATAAACTCCTTTATAGTTATATCATTTATTTAGCACTTGTGTTTCAACGTCGAATAAAATTATATTACGAGAGTTAAAATGTGCTGTTTAACACATGGGTTAAAATGATAAACAAGGTCTAATAATGTAAAAAGTGTTATGTACCACATGACGTATAATGTGGAATAAAGTGTTATCCATCACATAGAGTACAATTAATAATAAAATTTATGCATTACATGACTTATAATATGGACAAAAGGGTTAACTATCACATAGAGTACAACATAGAATAAACTTTATCTATTACATGATTTATAATGTAGAATAAAGTGTTATCTATCACATCACTTATAATTTGGAATAAAGTTTTATCTAACACATCACTTATAAGATGGAATAAAGTGTTATCTATTACATAGAATACTATTTAGAATAACGTTTATCTACAACACGACTATTAATATAGAATCAAGTGTTATTTATCACATGACTTAAAATATTGAACAAAGTGTTATCTATCACATGAATAATAATGTGGAATATAGTGTTATCTCTAACATAAGTACATCGTAGAATAAAGTTAATCTATTACATGACTTACAATGTACAATAAAGTGTTATCTATAATCTGAAATATAATGTGGAATAGTGTTATTTATCATAGAGAGTACAATGTACAATAGAATGTTATCTATTACATGACTTATAATGTGAAATAAAGTGTTATCTATCACATTACATATAATGTGGAATAAAGTGTTATCTATCACATGACTTATACTGTGGAATAAAGTGTTATGTATCACATGACATATAATGTGGAATAAAGGGTTATCTATCACATGACTTCCAATGTAAAATAAAGTGTTATCTATCACATGACTTTAAATGTAGTATAAAGTGTTTTCTTCTAGACTAGTTTTCTTCTATTCACTGTCTACCATAAAATTTTATATATTTGAGAAAATAAAATTGAGAGCGATGTGTTTTCTACCACATTTGTATTGTTTGTTTTTGTAATTAAGCACATAG